TTTGTTTTTTGCAACAACGTTCACCATGTGAATTGGACTGCCATTTTCAATGCTGTTTTCTTACCAGCTCTTAGCCACAGAAATACTGGCTTTGTAAGATGAGTTTTTCAGTGTTCCTTCTCTTTTCACTTTCATAGCAATGCAGCCAAAGTAGCATTGATATTAGATATTCCTTAAAGTCGTGTGATATTCATCAATGAGAAAACTTGCTGTAAGCAGAGCTTTTTGCTCTTTCACAAATATTGTTGACATCTTACTTGATACTGATCTATACGGACATACTCAATAGCTTTTATATCCTTTTGGTTCACTTTTCATAGGTTATTTGTGTCCAGAAATTTTCTTTCACTGCTTCTAGATTTTAATACATATTGGCAAATATTTTTAAAATTTTTCCCTAATGATTCTCTAAATTTCACTAAAATCTAGTAATATGAGTGTTTCATCTCTAATTTACTTATTTTGGTTATTTATAGCATACCACAACTGTGATCCCAAAGAAAATGAGTTACTAAATCAAGGAAATTGCAAATAGCACTTCATTTCCCCTCCATACGGCTTGTAGTGGGCCTTGAGAGAGGGCTCTCTGTGCTGCTGTTCATTTGTGGTGACCCACACTCTTTCTACACAGGAAATTGAGGACTTTGTGCAGAGCTCTGGAGAACATGGTGTTGTTGTGTTTACTCTGGGGTCAATGGTCAGTAATATGACAGAAGAAAGAGCCAACGTAGTGGCATCAGCCCTTGCACAGATTCCACAAAAGGTGAGACAAAGTATCCACTGGGTGGGCAATTGTGATAGAAGTCTATTGAACTCTGTAAGGATTTGGGTATGGAAATTTTTATGTGAAAAGTAAAATATTTTTAAAATTTTTATTTTTATTTTGTGTTTATGAATGCATTGCCTGCATGTGTATATGTGCATTATGTTGTATAATGCCAACAGAGTTATAAGAGGGTGTTGGATTTCCCTGGAACTGGAGTTACAGATGGTTGTTAACTACCATGTGGGTTCTGGGAATCAAACCCAGGTCCTCTGCAAGACTAGCCAGTGCTCAGGACCACTGAATCACGTCTTCACTCCCAAAAGTAAAATATTTGTATCTTTCCCATTCATCTCACAAATCATTTTGATAAGAAAAATACATATGGCAGATGATAAAATTTTAGAAAATCTGGTTTTGATTAGTAAATAAGAAGAAAGAAAGAGACTGAGATGAGAGAACAAGAGAGACAAAGACAGAGAAAGAGAAACAGAGACAGAGGAAGGAAAGAATGGAGGGAGGAAGATTATAGTTTGTGTATACGTTAAGAAGTTGGAATAAAATGGTATTGTAGATAGATACACAGAAATGATAAATTCTACACAGACATGCTTTCCATTTCCTTCCAAGATTGTTACAGACATTGTAAAACTACAGCCATTATTAAAAATTAATTAAATGCTAATTTGTGGTTACATTTGCACAATAATGGTCTGGAAACTGCAGAGTATCATCAAACAATTTTTGTATTCTATATTCTTACTAATATAATTAAAGAATTTTAGAATAGGCCAATTCAGTGATCTATTCAGGAGGTTAAGGGAAGAGTAGTTCAGAGTTCACCACCTAAAAATACAACCCCCCTGCAGCTAAAATATATTTAGAGAAGGATTAAACTTTTTGCAATGATGTAAGTAGGAAAACATAATAAAAACGGTGAGTATAAATCATGGCACTGAAGTGGACCCATTGTATTGTAAACGGTACCACAGGAACTCTGCTTCTACTACATCAGAGTAACACCTACTTCTCTTTGGGCAAGAAAAAGGAATCTCAGTAGACTAAAGGGGAAGCAAGTATGACAGAGGAAGAAATTCAAAATTCCACAACTCCATAAATTTTACTAGTAAAAATGTACTAGTAACTCCTTTCAAAGACTGGCATCCAATGAGTGTTTGTGACTTTTATTTTATTCTCTGATTGTTCTAGTTTCTCAAATGCTGTGATAAAATACTCTGATTAGTACCAACTTGGGGAGGAAAGGATTTCTTTTATATTATGTCTCCTGGGTCACAGTTCATCAGGGAGCCCAAGGTAGGAACTCAGAGCAGGAACCTGGAAGCAGGAGCTGGAGCAAAGGCCATGGATGCACGCTACTTACTGGCTTGCTTTCTTGGCCCTGGTCATCCTGCTTTCTTATGCAACACAGGTACACCTGTCCATGGGTGGCACCACCGACAGTGGGCTGGGGTTGGTCTCTCCCACATCATACAACAATAAAGAAAATGCCCTACAGACATGGCCACAGGCCAGTTCAATGAAGGAAATTACCCAACTGAGGTGCCCTCAACCCAGGTGTGTCAAATTGACACTAAACTATCCAGCACACTGATAAACACTTAAATTTATCATGAAAGCAACTTCTGATGCCAACCTAAAGTGATTCTACCAGGCACAATGCATAGAGAAGATAGAAAATTATAATTTCTATTTTAATTTTTAGCTATTGTTTATTAACTAAAAACAGGTTTCTTT